TACCAATAGGTTTTGGAACTATCTCATTGCTATTTATTTCTCCATTGAATTAATAAAAAAGTATTTTCCTTTTATTTGATTCTAATTTTGTCTCTCATTTTAAAACCATTCTCCTGTTCCATACTCTGTCTCCTCTACCTGTTATTACTCTTGTTATTCAAGAAAATTTTTCTATCTATCTACCTATCTATCTATCTATCTATCTATCTATCTATCTATCTACCTACCTATTATTTTGCATGGAAACAGTCTATATTTCCCTTAAGAAAGATGGATAAATGAAATGTGGTATATATACATAATGGAGCACTACTCTGTCATAAAGAAGGATAAACTTATCCTTACCTACTTATAGGTACATGAATGCATTAAGGTGATAAGGTTAAGTGAAATAAATCAGACACACAAGTTTAGATATCACATGGTTTCTCTTATATAAGAAAAACAAAATATACATGAAGAGTGTTATTTAAAGGTGACACATGTCACCTATTTCCATATTTAAGGTACTTTTTTATAGACTGTTTTATGCCTATTGATTTACATCTATCATCTAATATTAAGATAAGACAGATACTGAATGAGTAAATTTGATATCAGTATTTTGTATTATAGTATAGTTTTCTCCAATCTGAGATATCAGATAAACTTAGAACTCATATTTTCCCATGAGATAATGTATTATATTATATTATCTATAACTTATAAAAGCGCACCAATTCTTACATAAAACCTTGAGATCTGGCAGAATCTTGAAGAAGTTGCATTTATGGGAAACCCATTATTCAAGTATTCACTGTAGAATATGGTAATGGTCCCTGGTGTATTTTAATTCACATTTTAATCTCTAGACTTTTCATAGAAGTATACCCAAAGGCAAACAATAAAAAAGGATATCATAGCTGCTGTGTGATAAGAACTGTAAATATCTTATGGTAAAGTGAATGAATTCTTCTTTCAAGAGGTAAGATTTTGGGTTTCATGAATGAATCTGGTTTTTTTACAATTTCCTTTTACCATCTGAGAAGACTTCATTTTTTGAAATTGTATCTGTATTTATGAGCTGCAGTTTTAGAAATCAGTCAGACATAGTCATCACTATTGCAATCTTAAGAAAGTTACCTTAAATTTTCAAATATAAGGTAAATAAATTGGGAATCATAAAACAACTTATTGTTGTTTAATAAATAATAAAATACATTATAATGCATTTAATTCTGGGTCTATAAATTAGTAATTACACAAATTTTAGGTACTATATTCATATGTATTCAATTGTCAATCATACAATAGTATGACTACACCTTGTAATCCTGTTATTGTTGCAGTTCTTTTTTGTTATTATAAAGTCTCAGATTTTAAAATCTTTGACATTAAAGGCACTTAGGTACACATTTTATTAAGATATGCATTGTGAGCTGGGAGTAGTTGTGCAAACATCTAATCTTAGCACTGTAGAAGCCACAGATGGAACAATCACAGATCCTAGAAGGATCCGTTTATCTATTTAACAACTTAGGAAAACCCTATCTCTAAAAATTATTTAAAAGGACAGAGCATGCAGGTTAGCATAAAAAGACCTTGAATTTGATATGGCAAAAAAATGTTGTACATGTTTTTTCTATTAATACTACAAGTTTTAAGATAAAGAAACACTCATTATACACACACACACACACACACACACACATACACTTTGGGATATGAAAACATAAAACATAACTTAGTTCACATTTTGCTTGAGTGATATACTTGTTTATAATAATCACCAAATATGCATTAAAGGAAATGAAGCCATTATATCCACAAACTCTTTATATGGAGTTTATTTTGGGTTTGTTTTGGAAGCAGCTGTATTGACTCACTGATGGATGGGAACCACACTGCAGTGACCGAGTTCATTTTGTTGGGGCTGACAGATGACCCAGTCCTCCGAGTCATCCTCTTCATGGTCATCCTGTGCATTTACTTGGTCACAGTATTTGGCAATCTGAGCACAATCCTTCTCATCAGACTCTCCTCTCAGCTCCACCACCCAATGTACTTTTTTCTGAGCCACCTGGCTTTCGCTGACATAGGCTATTCATCCTCTGTCACACCCAATATGCTTGTAAACTTCCTGGTGGAGACAAACACGATCTCCTATCTTGGATGCAGCACCCAGCTTGGCTCAGCTGTTTACTTTGGGACCTCTGAGTGCTTCCTTCTGGCTTCCATGGCATATGACCGCTTTGTGGCAATCTGCAACCCACTACTTTATTCAAACAAAATGTCCACACAAGTCTATCTCCAGTTACTTATAGTGACTTACATAGGTGGTTGTATTAATGCTTCATCCTTTACCATTTCCTTCTGTTCTTTACTCTTCTGTGGACCAAATGCAGTCAATCATTTTTTCTGTGATTTTGCTCCTCTAGTTGAGCTCTCCTGTTCTGATGTCAGTGTCCCTGCAGTTATTCCCTCGTTCTCTGCTGGCTCCATCATTGTGGTCACAGTGATTGTAATAGCTGTTTCTTACATCTGCATCCTCATCACCATTCTGAAGATGCCCTCCACAGAGGGCCGCCACAAAGCCTTCTCCACCTGCACCTCTCACCTCACTGCAGTCACCCTGTTCTATGGGACCATTACCTTCATTTATGTGATGCCCAAGTCCAGCTACTCCACTGACCAGAACAAAGTGGTGTCTGTGTTCTACATGGTTGTGATCCCCATGTTGAACCCCCTCATCTACAGCCTCAGGAACAAGGAAATCAAAGAGGCTTTGAAGAGAGAACTTGGTAGGAAAATATTTTCTAAATGAGATTTGTTATTTTGTAAAATTTGATATAATAATACAATCCAATAGATTTAACAAAAAAAGAAAACAGTGTCTCTGGTTGAATTATATGTGTTGAGTATGATTAGTCAATGTGGATTGCTTTATAATTGTAGGAAGTAGATTTTCAGGAAAAGAAATAGTAAATCAAAGGTACAGAATATATTTAATAAAGATAATTTATAATTAAGAAAAAAATTTTCATATAAGAAACCTGAAATTTAGATTGTATTCAGAATCTTTCCAAAATATTTATTTGCTTTAATTTCAAGTTAGTACATTTCCAAGTTTTTAAGATAATGTCCATTTTGAATAACAGCTTGTCTTGAGATGTGCATGATAATTATTGCCATTGACAGAGTATGTTCTGAGAGTGAAATGAAAAGTAGATCAAGCAGTAAAATTACTGGAGAAGTTTTTCTTGTCAAAGTTGCCTGATTGGTATGGGCTTGTGGAACCTAAAGTTGTGGTCTGTGTTCTGGGCCTCTGATTCTAGTCTTGAATGTAAAGAGGCTGCCAGACAGAATAGGGTGAGATGACCCTAGCTTACCTGTAATTTGCTCTGTCAGATCTAGAGTGATATCTTTTCTATGAAAAGCAGTGTTCCTGAACTACTCAGGAAATGAATGGGGCAGATTCCTGGACTGGTTGACTGATGGTCAGAGCAACATGCTAAGAAAGCTTGGGAATTAGAATTTGGCCTAAGTTGGTATCTTACATTACATATTTCCTGAAAATTAGATCACTCCTCAAAGCATTTATCTCCAGAAAGAGGCACTACCTTTCATTAGATTGACAAAACAAAACAAAAAACCTGAGTACTTTTTTTTCTTCTCTCACTGCTCTCCTACATTCAATCACAGAATCATTTTTCCTGAACCCAGTATGTATCTGCTGGTTCTCTCTTCTTCACCGTGGGCACCGTACTTCAAGCTGTTTCTTGTAACATTTAGTTCACAATAGTATCTCTGTGTTGATTAATTTTATGTGTCAATTTGTCTAAGCATTAATAGTGAACTGTTTGATCGAGCTACTTCTAGATGCTGCTCTGACGGTGTTTTTAAAAGATTGATCAACGTTTAAATTGATAGACACTGAATAAAATAGATTATCTTCCATAATGTAGATAGGCTTTAACCAATAAATTGTAGGTTTTTAAAGATTCGGGTCCCTGAGGAGGAATATATTCTGCCTCCAGACTAGCTATAGACTCCACCCTATATCATCACTTCTTTACAGTATTTCAATATGTTCATGTACCCTATGGATTTTGGACTTGTCTCTTATAATTATTGTGTGAGACAAATCCTTTAAAAATCTCCCTATCTCTTTTAGATAGATGGATGATGATAGATGGATGGATAGATAGAAAGATAGATAAGAAATGTGAGCATGTATTTAGAGAGATAGGTAGATTTACTTATGCATGTGTATTTCCTACCTATATATACATATTCTATTGGTTCTCTTTCCTTAGATAAGACAGACAAGCACAACCTAAAATCAAATTTCTTCCTCTATTTCTCTTCCATAGGACATTTCATTCTCCATATGGCAAGCATGTCCATAAAATGAAATAGATATTTCCTTCATTAAATCTTGCAAACATCTTAGAATAAATATAACAATTTCAACATGTCTTAGAAGGTTCTGAATGTGGCCTTTGATTTCTTCTCATGCCTCATGATTTTTTCTTTGTCCCTCAGGATATACATTGTAGGCATAAGTCATTCGATCTTCTTTTAAATCCTTCACAATATCCCATTCTTTGTTTCCTCAAGACTCTCTCACATGCACTTACCTCTGCCTGCAATACATTTCCCATCGCCTGGGCAATCTCGCTTATGCTATACACACCAACCTATGTGTTGGGTGACTATTTCTAGAAGGTCTTCTTGAAGTTGTAGATAAAACTAAAGACACCATCATCCTTTTGCCGAACTATATTTTCTGCAAAATCTGTGTTGATTTGGTGGTTACATAACCAGGGTTAGTTTTGAAAAATGCTGAAAGCTTCACATAGAAACCAACTAACTTCATGTTTACCTACTCTGTAGTGTTTACAATTCTGGAACACAGTAAGCCTCAATACTTATTTGATGTAAATGAATGAAATAAATTTAATAAATAAAGGATGGTTGAACGAAATTTTTGATCTCCTTTGAGTGATGGTTCTAAAGGTTTTGAATCCTTACTTTCAGAGAATATAACACAGGCACACCAAGAAAAACAAAAGATCAAGCTCACAAATGCATTTTTAACAGTTTTATCTTCTTTTGGGCATATGGTATGGAGGAATGGAATCATGAGCTATTAAGAAAACTTCAGGGTTAGTGAGACAGCTCAGTGGACTAAAGTGCTAGCTTAGGCAAGCTTAGGCAAGTGTAGGGACCCTGGTTCTGTTCCTTTCTGTGCCAGCCCTTCCCGTGGGGTGGCCTGAGCCTTTTGGAGAGTCCAGGCATAGTGTAGTACACCTGTAATTCCAGTGCTGGGGAGGCTGAAAATAAGAGGACCACTATGAATCTAAGCTGCATAATGAGACCCTGTAACAACAAAATACATTAATAATAATAGAAAACTTTATCCTTTGTTATAAATAATTCTATATAGATTTAGTGCAATTCCAATAAAAACACTCTGAACATTTTTTATTGGGGAAAAAGTGATCGTGTTTCCCTTAAAATGAGAAGTGATGTAAGATTGCCCACTCTCATGACTTCTATTCAATATATTACTTGAAATTTTATCTAGAGCAATAAGGCAAGAAAAGGAAATAAGCTAAATATTGACAAGAAAGAAAGAAGTTAAGCTCTAATTATTTCCATATGATATTCTTCACTTAGAAAATCTTAAACATGTCAATAGACTTTTAGAATAATAAAATAGCAAGATATAATATCAACATATAAAAATAACTAAATAGTCTATATACCAATAATAAAACAACTAAGAAAGAAATTTGGAAAATAATAGTTTGCAAGGTATTAGTTTAATACAACATGATGTAATATAATATGAAATATAAATTAATATACTAGTGACGAAAAATGCAAAATTAAATTAAGGAAAAATACATTATAGAATTTAAAATTACTGGGACATAAATTTAACATAAGTAACCCAAGACATATACTCTGCAAATGATAAAACACCTTTTAAAAATGAAAGAATATCTAAATAAATGGAAAAATAGTCCATAAATATGGATCAGAAAAGAATAAGACAGCAACACATCTCAAAATGATCATTTAACAGAATAGCTCATAATGTTCCACTTTTTCTCATAGAAGCTGATTAGTTGCTTTAAAATTTATTGAAAAATCACAAGAAATCCAAAATATTGAAAATATCTTGTAAAACAAACTAAAATTTGTAGGACTTATAATTCTTTATTTTGCAACTTATTGCAAAACGATAGTTCAAGTATTTCTTGGCCCATAGATAGAAATGAAACCTGATGAGGTAGAATTGAGTCAGTAATTTAACCCATATGTCTATGATGCAAACACTTGTTAAGAACCTAGAACAAATGTACAGGGAGAAGCCTTTCAAGGTCAGTGAAGACTCAGGACATAGGAGAACCTGTACTGTAACATCATGCAACTTAGTTGTGTCTCAAATTTTCTGATCAAGGAGATTATAGGACCATAGAGGAAGTACCCAATGATGTAGAGTGTGCCTAAGGAGAGTCACATGGAGAAAAAAACATTCTCTCAGGTTTTCACAGAGAGCAAATTGGCCAAGCAATGGCAGTGACTCATCCACATGGCTGACACTGACAAAGGATCTACAAACTGTGGTACAGGGTTTCAGGATAAATCCTGAGGGACTTTGACTGACCTTGTCAGATACAAAAGTTATATTTCTTGTTATATAGGTCTTGCTTTATCTTGGTCTTGACCATCCAGCAGAAAAGTATAAAAAACGAAGTATTAAAAAGTAAAGGCATATTAACATGCTGAACTGTAAAAGGCTCAAGTCAACAACTTCTGACATTGTCAGTGTTATGGAAAACCCAGTACTATTATGGACTACTGGAGTGTATTGGAATATTTTGCTGAATTCACACACCTACAATATTTAAATGACAATGGAATACCCTTCTCTGACAAAACTAAACAAAAAAGGGGGAAACGAATGATCATTTTGTATCTATATATTCAAAATATTTAGGATAGATATACAGCTGCATTCCTTAATTCAATGAATAGAGAGATTTGTTCTAATAGTGTTTGTGGACAGGATATTATGTCTATATCTTGTACAATGAATAACCACTAAGACAACAATATTCAATGTATTAATTATTGAAACTGTGCTAGTAATCATTTTTGAACCTGTCTCATTGCTATTTGTTTCTCAATAAAACTATTTTAAAAAATGTACAGGGCTAATTGGATATCCACATACAAAAGAATGAAGTTGGACCCTCTCTTTCACTATATGTAAAAATTAACTTAAAATGAGGAAAGTTCTAAATGTAAAATTTAAAAACATAGTTTGTGGAAGACAACATTATTTTTGTTCATGATTTTTCATTTTTATATTTATCTTCTTCCTCCTCCTCATCCTTCTTCTTCTGTATTTTTTTAGGGAAGGGTCTACAGGGTGTTGAGGATCATACTACTAGATTGGACTTGTAGTGATCCGCCTGTTTACAGCTTCCCAAGAGCTGAGATTACAGGCCATCGCGCCCAGTTTCAAGTACCAGTTGTCTCAGCATGCCCCAGGAGTGGGGCTGGCACAGCAGGCCCAGGGATCAAACCCCCAGCCCCTGCACCTGAGCTTGCTTAGAGACATTTTAATCTGCTGAGTTATTTGGCCAGCCCCCTCTTTCCTTCTTCACTTCCTTCTTTCCTCTACTCATCTTTTCTTATTTCCTTCCACTTCACTGCAGCCTGTCCCTGTTTCCTGCTTTATTGCTCTGAAACACAGGAGTATGTTGAGGTTGTAGACATGTAAACACTCTCATCCATTAAAGGTGC